AGTAGTTGTGGTCTGAAGCAGATAGAGACAAGAAAGAATACCCTGACACTTAGTATATTCCCTCCCTTCATGTGCTCCGCGAAATGCGTTTTCAAATTCTCATCAGATGATCTGAAGTTCAGGTTCTTAACATACAAAGAGCGTAACTACATCACAAAACATATCACAACAATTTAACACCTGAATTAGTACATTTTCGGGACTCTAAAGCAACTAAATGAAGCACGGGACACCACCTCATGCAACAGTTCGGGAAAATAATAAAGTCGGCTTAGACATATTGTTTTCCCTTTTTCATTAGAAGCATAGTATCAGCATAGCAATTTAAAGCAATTCGACAGAAATCACAATAGGCAAGTCATTATTTTGAGTAAGCTTCCGACAGAAGATACATGAAACAATTCCAGTAGGCATATAAGAAATTTTACGTGAAATTTCCATGTTTTACAAGGAAAGCTAAGGTTAAGGCTAAACAAAACTAAGTCCAGAAAATAACCTCAATTCTATCAGGGTCAACATCTGCATCAGTAGTCTCTTTGACTTGTTGCTCTAGCAAAGCTCTCTTGACATCATGTCCACCAACAACTTCATTATCACCAACAGCTGAAGTTTCACTGAGAATATTACCAGGTGCCCATTCCAAATATAGTGGGGCATCCCTGCGGATAAGAGGATAATATAATCAACTTCACAATAAACAAAAACCGACCTGAAATTGGAAAAATGGAATTCAAAATCTCTAAGCTTAAATCATTAAAAAATCTTTAATGTTCTTCTAATATTTAAGTATCCACTAAATGGAATTAAGAAAAAGCAAAAACACACCCATCTTTACAATCCAAGTCTTCATCCCATAAAAAATAACAACCAATTTAGTTGTGATATCACTCGACATACGTGGCATCGTGATCTTTCAGGATTCACTCGTGTTCTCCATTTTCATTCAATAACCTGTTCTATTTCGTCATAGTCTTAACATCTTAATAAGGTACCATCAAATTGGATGCAATAATAGTACACACAATGTGATACAACAATTTGAAAGCGCTAACAACTAACTGCTAAATCAACTTACTTGTACCGCTTGTATGCTAAACCTCTGAAAGCTGCCCGAGCGTTAGCAGGTTCTAGAAAGATAACCTGGTTGGTATCAAAAGTTCCAATGAGAAATATATATGACATATTATGGGTAAATTGAATATTGTAAGATGCTGTTTTTACATCACACAAATGTTTTTACATCGCACAAGGTGTATCCAGGAAACCGCCAGTGAAGCATGATGAAAGATAGTTGCATTGTTCAAGTTGCGATTACAATAAAATCAGCAAATTTTCATATCTATGTGTCGGAGTCATTAGACATTGTTCTTGATCACACAAGGATCAAGCAAGTACCTCTATATTTCGGACTCATACCAATACTACATATCGCCAAACTCAACTAAAACCAAGCCATTTGCCAGGTATTTCAATGTCAGCCCAAAACAAAGAATCATACAACCAAATAAATATACAAATACTAGTAAGGTAGTTTGTTGACATCCAATGAATTCTGAGCTTCAGATTTCTATCCGAGAACCAATAGTTATCCAATAGTTATGATTCTTGCTTAATAGCGTAGACCAACTAATGATTAATAAAATGGTGAATCAAAGAGTTCTTAAACGTGAACATACTTTGTCGGAAATAAGTTAAAACAACGAAGGATCCCGTATGCAAAGAAAATATATTAAACTTTAACCTTGAGCGACGTTAACACAATGCAGAATTTAAAAAAAATATCGCATGAGCTGAAAAAACAGGACACAAAATAACAATGAAAAGAAAAAAAGGAAGTCAGTCCATACCAAAGCCATGGTTTTAGTAGGAGGCAAAATGATTTTGTCCAAGCTGCCAAATTTCCCAAACATATTTGATAATTCACTTTGAGATGAACCATAAGGTAAATTCTTCACTAATATAACATGGTTGCTTCTTTTAAGACCATCAGTTTTACCATCAGCAAACTTCTCTAACGAGGAAATATTAACCCCTGCACCTGCGAGAGATTTTTTTGTCTCAGCAATCACTTGAGTCTCTCCCATTGCTATTCTCACAGCAAGATCATCATTTTCTCTATCTAGTAGTTCACTTTTACTGACACCACTTCTCCGTGCAATGTATTCGACAACCTACAATATGAAGGGTTAGAAGAGAAGAGAAGATGATAGACCATCCAAAAAATTTAATGGACAAACCTGTGAAGTTTTACAAACAGTGGTCGTCAATTATTAGTTCAAAGGGAAGAAAAGAACATTAACCGACATTAACCCATAAACTTTAACATAGAAATAGGATATAGTGGATCAAAACTCTCATGCTCTTGTAACCCAATCCCACAGTTATAGAATGAGTAAAAAAAGGGTCCAGGACAGGAGATAAATTTTATCATGGATATAAACCGGCTCTACTTTTACCTTTTCTTCCATATTCTTAAGAACACCAATTTTATTGAAAAGGTTTTGCGGTCACTAGAGGGGCAAATATATATGGGGTATCAAGCCTAATATTTAGTTCGCTGACTTATACATTAGAAATTCTCCAACTTACAGTATCAGGGCGCATAAATAAACTATTCCATGCCCGTGTATTTCCAGAAGCTTCTGATGCCTTCCTCTCTGAAATCTTTTGTTGCTTAAACGTTTTTGAAGACAGACTGTGTCTGTAGAATGAGATCCAGCATAAAGATAATATTTATGCTATGACTAACTCCCATTAATTAACAGAAGAAATGTAACTTGAAAATCTGTAACCAAAGGCATACTCTTGCATATCAGGAACATATTTTTGTTTAGCAGGCATGACATGCAATAACCTTCCTTGAAAAATTGAACTGTCCATCTCTTCTAATGCCCTGGAAGAAAAAAACACACATAATATCAGGAAGGGAAAGGACAAACTATGGCAACTTTCCTATTTGCAAATCTGCATGCACAAGAATAGGAGCGCATATTAAATAAATTAAAATTATATTTGAAAAAGCTCGAACTGACCTCAGCCAAAAGAAAATCACTAAACAAGTATATTTAGTAATGGTTAGCCCTGAGGTTTACAATAGATCATTGTACTGATTTCTTGATTGAATATAAATATCATTGGAACTTGAATTCTTCAAATCATATACATCAGCATGATCAGTAATAGTGATACCAACTAAGTTTTTGAGTCGGGAAATGAAATAATACCTAGCAGCAGATTCTGGGAGTGCAAAGAGAACATAAGCAAATCCCTTGGAACGTCTTGTGTCTTTGTCAATGAAAATATGGACCTGAGAGATGGTCCCATATTTACTGAAGTGATCTTCCAGTTCCTCCTCACTGCGTACATCAGGAAGTTCCGTGAAATGAAAATCACAAACTGAATAACGGATAAAAAGATGGGGCATGCAAGACATTAATATCATAGAACATGTTGTCCTCATACGGGCCTGAATAATATGGTACATACGTGGTAGTGTAGGGAAGATTACGGATGAAGAGACGACCAGATTCTAGAACTTCATCATTCTTGTTTTTTGGACTTGATGAAGGATCACCTGAGCCATTTATTCCACATTCTCCATAAGAGCCATCATCAACCTCGCTTTTGGGAACTGCAGGTTCAAGTTTATTATCTGTAGGATCATGGTTACTCTTGTCCTGAGAGTCACTGCAGTCATCATTATCATCACCATCACTATGATCAGTGCCATCAGAACTACCCTCACTGTCGCTTGTTTCTGAATCTGACCATTTATTTTTAATTCTGCTCTTAAAGTAATCCATGTCGGATACAAATTCATCATGAACCAAAATATTTGGTTTTTCTGGCTCTTGTTTCTCTGATAAAACATTTCCGTCTCCCTTAACTTCCTCAAGATCAACACTCTCTCCATTTAATTTACCATCATGCCCTTCTGTCATATGAAATTTATTATCTGTTGCTACTTTGCTTTGCTGAAGAGAGGGGGCTGCAAGTGTATCGTTTGCCCACAATTTTGACCTGCTACGATGCTCCATGACCAGAACAAAATTTTGAAGTTTTGGGTCATCGATCTCCTCATCCTTTTTACTCTTCTTACTTGTCCCTTGAGGTACTACAGCTGTAGAAACTTTTGAGCTGGTTGTTGTCTTCTCTTTTTCTGAACCAGTTAATCTTTCCTCTTCTTCAGAAGCATTCTCTTTCTTCTTCTTCAATGAGTGTCGACTCCAAGGGCGGGGAATATTGGGATCTCCAACCTTTTGAGCAATTTGGCGACGACCATACTAAAAAGTTACTACATGTTAGTTTTTATGAAACAAAAAAAATCAAGTTTTTTAGCTTCCTCTTGTAATTAAGTGAAGTGTGAACACCATTTTATAATTCTCTACTAATGAACTGTCAATTGCAGATCTTAGAAAGGTCTGCTACATCAGCGATATACCACAAACTAGAACAACCTTTCCATGATGTCCCTTTTGGTGATTGACAAAAGGCAGTACAATTAATTCCCCATTCAATAGAACACATTACAAGCTACAACTGTGGCTATTGACGGTTATAATGTTTGACGAAATAATCTCACCATTACTTCCTACTAAAGTGGTTCCTAATTCAGAAGCTTGAAACTTAAAAATAAATAACAGACCTCACAAGTAATTCTGCAAGTATCCAGGAAAGACTTGTTGAAGTAGTTTGTGGCTTCCTCGGCTTCATGCTCAGTCCTAAATCCAACAAATCCAAATTGCCTGCTCTTCCCATCCCTGAACCAAACCAATGTTTCCTTATGAGTTCCTAAATTACAATTAAAGTGGCAATGTTTGAAGAACAAACTCACTTGGTGCGCATAAGCTTGGCGTCGGTGACTTCCCCTTTCTGGGAGAAGAACTCTCTCAGACGAACCTCTGCCACATACTTGGGAAAGTTTTTCACACATATCCATGACCTTCCTATCAAAGATAATTAAAAAAAAATAAAAAATCAATTTTAAGCATTGTGGCCGAAGTGAAGCGGGAAGATAGAAAGGAAGAAAATTACATGGTTGGTTTATGTTTATATTCTTTAATACCGAGATACTCCAACGCTGAAAGATGGACTAATTTTCTTACAAAGTTCCCATGAGAAGACCAGACTGATTGACTTCAATCAACGAATTTTGGGGTACTATAATCTTGTCATCCTCAATCTATGAACACCATGAACAAGACAAACAAGGAAATAGTCAGAATGCATTGAATGCACATAGGGGTGGAGATCGGACGGATCGGATCGGATTTGGGTGTTTCGGAAAAATTCCGATTTTTTTCGGAAGTCCAAAATGCCTTCCGATTTGTTCGGAATTCAAGAATCGATTCCGATTTTTTTGGAATTTTCAGAAAATCAGAATTTTTCAGATTTTTCAGACTTTTTCGAGAAAACAAAATAGTCATTCACTGCCAGCTCACTGCCACCGACACAGTAGCAGAAGATTGGGAAAGAAAAAAAAACTCAAAACAAATATTCTTCAAAGCAACAGACCCAACAATAGCCGAATTGAAAAACAACCCAAACAAATATTCTTCAAAAACAACATAAAGAACGATTCAAGTCTTAAATCATACGAACGTGGGTGGAGGAGCAGCGTGACGAGACAGACCGGCGCTGGTGGTGGTCGTGGAGAGCACGGGCGGCGCTGGTGGTGGTCGTCGATCGGAGAATATTCCTGACAGGTGTTCCAGTGCAAATGCCACTAGCCTGCCGGCGAAATATTTGTTAAAATTTGATCTTAATTGAAACCCCCTCAGCCAAGCCGAGCTAAATTCCAGTATAAATGCTTCGGAAACAAAAAACAAGCCGACCCCACCCTCCCATACCAAAACCAAAATCACTCAAAGTTTGCTGGAAGATGAAAAAATGAAATAAACATGTGATGAATAGAAAAGATACTAGAGATAATACCGTAGAATAGTTCGGTCGGAATCCGGTGCAGAAACACAAACCCTAGATAGCTTGAGAAAAGGGAGACAGTGACGAAACCAAAGAGAGAAGTTGGGCTGGTCCGCATGTGGTATTGAATTTGGAGGAGTTCAGCCCTATCCAACATTAATTCATTATTAATTATTATTTCAAAAATATCTGAATGTTTAGGCCGAAACAAAAATAACTAGTGTAGTAAAAACATCATTTTGACTTGTATGCACCCAAATTTATTTTATTTACTGGGGATCAATTATATTAAATATATTGAATTCCATTTCTTTTTCTTGAATTCTTTACATCCTTAATATATTGTTCGATTTTCATATAGAATTGTGCGCACAAAAAACGACCAAAATGGCACAAACAACGACCAACCTCATTGATCTTAAGCCGTGTCGATTTGACTGGAAAGTGGTGGTTCGGGTCATGCGACTGTGGAAAGTTCCTAGCAAAAACAATCCAAATGAAATGATCAGTATCGATATGGTCTTAATAGACAATAAGGTCGTTATTTATTTACGCGTTTATTTCGCTTATGGTTAAAACAATATTTTGATATAATTTCTAATGTTTTTTTTAGGGTGACAAGATCCATGCTTCTATAAAATGTAATCCCTTGAAAAAGTTTGAACTTATTGTGAATGAAGGTAATACCTACATATTTCAAAATTTTATGGCGGCTCCAAGCGATCCAAAATTCAGATCAACTCGCCATACTCACAAGATTGTGTTTATTAGCACTACTCGAGTAACTGATTTCCTTGCTGAAAATATTTTTGTTGTCACTTTTAATTTTACGGATTTCCATGATATCATTAATGAATGGGATGATACATGGCTTATAGGTAATTTCATTTTGTTAGATTATGTGTTCCATTAATTTATACCAAAGATTTCAATTTTTGTGTATAACAATTATTTCTTTTTAGATGTTATTGGACATATTATTGAAAGGGATGCTTTGAGATAACTAAACAAAAATGGGCGGAGCCACAAGCTGTTGGAAGTCGGCCTTCAAGACTTATCGTAAGTATCCGTTGTTTAATTTATTATTGTTTATATTTATTTTTATTTCTTAAATGTTCAATTGTTATTTTCAGTCGCAACAAACTTAGATGTGCTCTATCGGACAAATATGCTGAGGAACTGTCCACACATTTGATCAATGACATATCGGATAGCCCTATCATTATTATTTTGCAATTATGCATGGTAAAAAGTTTCAATGGTAAGTACTTACATGTTGATTGGATTAAGTTTAAGTTATTGTTAATGATCTACTTTATTTATTTGCATTATAGGCAGGAATAGTATTTCCAATGCTTTCCACAGCAGTAAGTTACTAATAAATGAAAATTTAGAGGAACATAGAGAGTACAGAGAAAAGTGAGTTTGTTCAACATAACAAATATTATTTTAAATTTTATTTTATCTCATAATTTGTTGTTATGTATTTGTACATGAATATAGATTGATGATGCAAGCTGGAACATTTTCTCAATCAATTAGTCAACTATCAACTCAGCGGTTCATTGGAATTTCTGATGATTTACTTCAGACAAAACATATGACAATCAGTGATTTAATGGATTACACAAGTGTATAACCTTTTGTAGGCTTATTTCATAAATCATATAAGACTAATGTAAAATAATTTTTCAGGAACGCTCTGTTGCGTTGCTTGCTAAAGTAGTAGAAATAGACTGTGAGAGTAAATGGTGGTATCCATCATGCTCAAAATGTTTTAAGAAAGTTGATTGTAATGGTGTTCAATTCTATTGTGAAAAGTAGGGGTGGTTTCGGTACGGTTACCGAACATTTTGTTCAATATCGTGTACCTACCGTATCTTTCGGTATTGAAAAATTCTATACCGTTACCGTACCAACAATTGCGGTATACCGTTATTCGGTATACCGTTAGTTTCGGTACGGTATGATCGGTACGTGGTAATCTACCGTACGTCATTTTGTTGATGAACTCGGATGATACAATATCTAAGATGAATACTAATTAAATGCATAAATACAACAAAGTAAACAAATGAAAATGGTAATCAAACAATTTACATGAATATACATTATACGACCGTAATAGCGTATGTTGCTTCAATTAACTAATGATTACTAAGATATGTATAGAAAAATTGTAGAAATTAATGAGCAAAAAGTTTCATGGTTTAAGTAAGATAAATAAAAAAATTATGGTTGAAGTAATCTACTAGGAAATATTGATGGTCTAACCAATAATTATGAATTATGATCACGTACCCATAATTATGGATTAAAAGTTCAAACAAATTCAACAAATGAGTGGAAATCCAACTCCATAAGCTTTTTAGCTTATGGAGTCCAACCTTATTAAGGTTGTATTCGCAAAAGCTTTTAGAAAGTGATTCTTAGCTTGAATTACTTTTGAAGTGTTTGTTATTATATCAAATTTCGCTTCTATTTCGCTAAAAAATAAGTTGTTTTAAACTTTAATTTGAAAAACGTTCCTATACCTGTTTTTTTTTTTTTTTTTTTTAAGTTAATTTTTCAGCATAACAAACACCCCAACTTTTAAAAATAAACATTTAATACCAACTTAACTCACAAATACAAAATTTTACTTTTAAATAAGTCTTTGCAAACACCACATAATTAAAGCTTAATGATCCATGCCCATATCAAATTAATTACAAACAATAGTTCTAAATCTTCAATTATGTGATTATAAAAAAATAAAATAAATAAACCAAAAGATCTCATGAAATGCATCCAAAAAAAAAACGTCTTTTATATTTTCTACAAATACATAGTTTCCCTTAAGAACTCTCAAATCCTTCCCTTTTTTTTTTATTCTTTGAAATACAATACTTAATTAAACAATCCTATACATAATAATGTAATAATAAGAACAATTGTATAGATGACAATATTTAATACTACTAGGAATTAATTATAATAAATTACTTATACAAGTGCTATTATAAACTTGGGTCCTATGTATCTTGTCATATTTATCAGCCAAGACAACCAAACATTGGAGTTGATGATGAAATTTAGGTTGGAATATTCCCCAAATTACATGAAAACTTGATCTTAATTTAACTTTAACAAGCAAAGGCAATCCTTGACCAGATTCTAGTAAGTCTTGCATGTTTCTTCCTGCACCATACATTGCCTTATTTCTTGTCCCAATTTTGAAATTGAATATTGTTGTCTCATCACTCTCTCCATATACTTCTCCACCCTCCATCTTTAATGGCCAAAACAAAAATAAATTAAATAGCATATATTTTTTTTATATCAACATATTAAAAGCATGTAATTTTGTGAAAAAAATTGTAAAATATATATATACTACTACTAATAATTAACCATGTGTTAATTTAAGTTTATTTACATATATATATATATATATATATATATATATATATATATATATATATATATATATATACAATTATGCCAGGAATTTTTTATTTTTGCCTCGTATTCTTTTTCTGGTGAATTGCATGCTTTACTTAAAATAAAATCAATTACCCTCAAGCTAACAGTCCGTTAGAAATACTAACAGAAATTATGAAAAAGCTAAATTACTTCAAATAAAAAGGAGAACAAATTAAATTACCACTAATATTTGATTTTACGAACCCAATATTTTATTTTTAATTTTTTTAAAACCATAAAATTTTAAATGACAAATTTAAAGAGTTCGAAACGACCATATTAAATAACTCTTAAAAAAATTATTTTAAATCCCCCTTTAAATTTTAAACTTTACAATTTGCCTCCCGAGGGGTAAATTTTATTTTTTTTAAAGAATCTCATGAGGGTTAAATGTAATTTCTTGAAAATAGGGATTTGTTTTGTAATTAAACTAAATAAGGATAGTAAAACACAATGAATTTTTGTTTCCTATGTGTAATGAAATTTGAATTTGACAATGGAAAAATAAAAATGGGAAACACAATATAACAAATTGCTGACCTATGACACTGCAAAAGGGAGATGGCCAAAAAGCAATTGAATGAATGGAGGATTGATGTGAAGACCAAATAGCTTGGACTTATTTTCTATTATTAAATCAATTGAACAATTGCAGCTTAATATTTTCGTCGATGCACCAGAGCCGTCCACTCCCTCGGCTAATCTGAACCCTCCAATTCCTCCAATCTGCACATTTATTAATTAATTAATGATGACCACCATTTTTTTTATTATTTTTTTTTAACGTAGCAACCAATAGCCAACCATATATGTGTACTTGGTAAATCTACAATTTCGTATAATAGTTTGCAAATCATATTTAGGTCAATTGACACATGCTCACTTGGTCCAACTGCTAGACGATCTTTATATTTTTATTTAAAATTCAATTTGAGTCGATTGAAATTATGACTAGAGACTTGATAAAATCGAACGTTTTTTAGTATACTAATTCGCTTGTCTTTAATAATTATTTTTTTTTCTCCAAAATATAACACGATCACCCCGTCATTTTTCTATCGAATTTATTTCCTGCAACTTTTCAACAATAACATTTTATCATAATAGCACATCATTAATGGGAAAATTATAGTTTCCATTCCTCAAGTTTGTACCAGTTTTATATTTGGTCTTTTATGTTCACAAAAAACACATTTGGTCCCTCATGTTTCTACAATTTGACACTTATGATCATTTCCGTCAATTTACCGTTAGTCCGTTAGTTATGAGAGTGACGGACACATGCTTGATTCCATTAGTACTAACGAAATATTAACCAGAAGAACGGAAAGTGTTAAATTATTGAAACACGAGGGACTAAATGTGAAATCTAGGAAAACTCGAGGGTCGAAAAGTGTAATTTTCGCCATCATTAATCGTTCATATCACGAGTTTTTTTGAATATGGAGAGGATCATAAAGTCGGACTGAAGAAATTTTTGAAATTTTGAGAGGAATATTCATATTTTTCGATAGATTTTACGCTTGAACCTGATGCATGCTATTTAGTTGTGCAAATTAATTTAAAGAGTGACCAAAATCTGTGCGTCAATTAAAAAAAATATATAGGAAAAAATACAATTTTCATCCCTCAAGTTTGCACCGATTTCACATTTGATCCTCCGTGTTCACAAAAGAACACATTTGGTTCTTAATGTTAAAAAAAACCAACATTTTAGTTATTTCCGTCAATTTTCCGTTAAAACTAACGGAATTAAACGTGTGCCTATCACTATTGTAACTGACGGACTAACGGTGAATTGACGGAAATGAACAAAAGTGTCAAATTATTGAAACATGCATGAGGGACCAAATGTGTTTTTTGTGAAAACATAGAGGATCAAATGTGAAATCATTACAAATTTGAGGGGTGAAAACTGTAAATTTCCCCATAATGATATAGATAGAGATAAAAATAAACACAAGTATATATGTACGAACCTTAATAAAGATGTTAGGAGGGGGAGGCTTAGCAGCAATATAGAAAACAAACAAAGCAATGATCAAACTCAGCAAAAACCTCCATCTCAGCTGCACCAAAATCCACATCCCGGAATTCGAATAACCGAAAGATAAATACTTTATCCACCCTCGTTTTTCCTCTTCATCACCGTAATAATAATCTCGATCATCAAGTATTACTGCCTCATTAATATTATTATTATTATTATATTAATATTACCATTTCGAAGCGCCTCGTGTGAATGTAGTTTCTTCTTATCACCGTCTTGCAAAAACGAGTTGTTCGATCCACGAGAAGACGAGTAATGAGATATAGGAGAGTTGTTATTACATGAGTTTAAGTGGTGAAGGTGATTGTAATTGGACGAGGCGGTTGCATGGGAATTAACGGTCGAGGGTGGGCTTTGGACCAAGTATAGTGCGGCGTAGGGGTAAGATCGGAATAACGATTCTACTTCTTCCTCTTCGGAAGATTTTGCCATTGCCACCGCTACTGTGTGTGTGCTGTGTGAGAAAAAAAATGGCAAATGGTCACATGGGGTTTTTAAACCCACAAAATAAAGAGAGGTATATATAATAATACTTTGGGATTGCTTCAAATAATGCATTGTGGGTGACATAATTGTTAGATACTATATGATTGGATTTTATGGAAGACTTAATTTATAAGACTTATTTTAAGTAATTTTTCACTAATTTGAGGTAAGTTTGTTATTTTTGATTTCTACGAGCGTTCTATTCTACTTGAATTTTCGGTTGCTTATTTGAGCGTCAAAGGGTAATCGTCGAGCAACTCGCGCCGAATCACTTAATGTCTGCATTATTTTGTAGGTTGACGCGTGAATTCTTATTTGGCGTGTGGATTTTTTTTTGAACGTATTATTACCTCAGACACGCGGCATTAAGTTTCAGACTTGTTTTCGAACATCATCGGATGACTTGGACATGATTAACTAATTAATTAACACTAATTAATTATCATTCTAGTTTTTCATTGTTCATAGTAGATATCATTTTTTTTTAGTTTCATATTTTAATTTATAGCATCTAAATTTGTGAGTTTATCATTTTTCACCAATTATTTATTTCCACAATAAATCTAAACTAATGAAAAACAAAAAGAAAGAAATTTGAAAATTAATATAGATAGAAGATATACTTATAACAATCATTTTTTCTTGTTTTGGTTTAGTCGCTTCTCAAAAAATAAATAAATAAAATAAAATAAAATAAAATAAATAAAAAGAATCAATAAAGGAGAAAAACAATGAGAGCTAATCCGAGAAATACGGGAGAGACATCAATTGAATCAACTTAGTTTATTGCCTTTTCTCTTTACACCGATTTTTGCTCCTTTTGATGATCAATGGAATCATAACAAAGTAAGCACGCTTTTGGTTTAATACTAATAACAACTCTACATCTTAATTATTACTCCATTTATTTCTAATTAATTGTCGTTTTTAGACTTTGCAGAAGTATTAAAATTCTCAGTAAATGTGTCTTGATTTTAGAAAAAAACACATTAAAAGATTAAAATAAATTTGATCATGTAATAATGTGATAAGAGAGAATTAATACTTAGAGTTGAATTAACAAGGTTAAAACATGAAGAAAAAAAATGCATTTAATTCAGTATTTGAAAATGTAAAGTAACGAATAATATTAAACAAAAATATTTTAAAAATAGACAGTTATTATAAAATAGATGGACTGATCGAGTAGTCGTTAACAACTAAACGAGGACTTATATTATAAATAATAAAGAAATTGCGATTGAAAAGTATTTCATTTGAACTAGCTATTATACTAATTCAAAAAAAAAAATCATATAATGACTCTAATAATGGGTTGGGAAATTTCGTGTAATTTAAGAAAGATGGTGGTGAATTGGAATATAAGATTGGCCAATATATGCGTAGTAATAATAGATGGTAATGATGGAAGTGAGTGGTGTGGACTTAGTAGAAACATGATCTAAATAATTAAGAAGCAAGCTTTAGCTTTTTTGTAACTAGACATAATGAATACCACCAACATTTTCGTCAAATTATACTATTATTAAGTGAAATATATACTTGCTTCTCTCTATATTGTTCCATAAATTCTTTTTACTTTTTGTTTCTTTACTTATTTTAATACATTATCAGCGCCGAGTTTGCTCAAATTTATGTTATAACTAATAGAGAAAAATTTGATATACATACGAATATTTCATCCATGGAGATTAGCTTTCACGATGATCCAAAAGAGGTGGACACTTCAGCTCTTGATGATGAAGAGAGAGATGATACATTCTAATTTATTGTTGTTTTGAGTTGACGAAAAAATAAAATTCTTATTTTTGTTGTAGGTGAATTGTCACGCGTTCACGAGTTCTAGCTCTGAGTCTACTTTCGGATATGATGTTCGAATCTAAGAAAGCGTAGAGCACGAAAGTGTGAGAACTTTATGTTGGTTGTCCGAAACATAATCAATCGCTGGAATCCGATGTCGAACGAGTGATTCGACAGATTTGGATTCATATAGATACCCACCCATGTGGTACTTCATGTTAGAAATAATCTGATTATGCTCGAATAAATCCCAAGACCATCATGCACAGTACATGAATCCATAGAACCATTCGAATATTCGGAAGTTCAAAGAGGGTTGATTTTCCAAAGAAAACACGTTCCTTGTCTTCTATCTCAGACGATATATGGATTACCGGGAGAAGGGAATGAATCCTAACTGAACTCTAAATGTCTCTACACATTGGGCCAACATTATTAATCCAATACCCATTAATCTAATTCAAATAACTGTAATTAATTTCGTTTAATTAGATTATCTAATAGATAGACATCAAGGTTCTAAATATCGGTTATCGGGTCCGAGGCGGTTAGGGACCGCCACACGATAAATCGGCGCGGCGGTGATTAATCGGAGATATATCGGAAATAAATCGGTTTTTAAATTTAGTGTAATATATTTCTAAATATTATTTGTAAATACATAAAAACGTATAAAAAAATTGAACATGATTCTCTCCTCATCGTTTATATATTCTAATCACATAACAAAAGTTTAATAATAGTGAGATAGAGAATGCCGCCGCGGTGTGTGGATTGTTTTGTGTTTTTTTTTTCAAGGTCAGGTTCTTCTTACGGGGTCGGTAATTTTGGGTTTGATTGAAAGAGATAATGAATTAGAATTGAAAGAGATAATGTATATGTATATGTATTCATGTACTTTCTTTTTACCCCAAAATTAATCTACACCAACAACAAAATTCACAATTTTAATCTTGATATTATGAATCAACTACCCCAAAATGAAATGAAAAACACAATCACATGCATATAATCTTCAAACATGAACACACATTACTATACATTAAAAAACACATAGCATACATATAACTATATGTTACTACACGTGACTATAGTTATATACAATTATCGATAGTTATATAAGTGACATAAGTAGCATGAATGCAACTTCACATAGCACTTCTCTGCATCTTATTCTTTGCATCTCGTAATGTTTTACTAAGCAAAACCTGTGACAAAAAAATACAAGTTAAAGAAAATGAAGAACAAAATGGAACATGCGAATTACATTACATGAAAAAATACAAAAAAAAAATCAATGAAAGACATTTTTTTTTGATAAATTTACTTTGGTGAACTATAGTCGCAAGTAGTTATGTGCATTATTGTTACTGCATATGACTAGATATGACTATATGTAGTCAACTATAGTCACATGTAGTTATGTTCATTCTTGTTACTACATGTGACTATATATGACTACATGTATACGATCACATGTGACTATATATGTATATGAATAAAATTCATCTACACTACCAAAAAAGTTCGCAGCAGTAGATAATGAATTATGCTCCATTCTGCTTTCCTCGTTTGTCCCTGCTAGATGCTGCTGCAACATTCATTATACTTTATTAAAAAAAAAAAACAGGAAAAAAAAATCAAACACAATTATTGGGCTTTGTGCTTTCCAATATACCACCTTGGTACTAATACAAACCATAGAAACTTGGTGAATTAAATCACGTAATGAACAAAACCTCCCTTACAGTAGCATTATGCTGTGACGATTAACAAACATTTTGCCAGCTACTATGAAGTCATGTCATAACATAGAAGACAATTTTCAAATCCCAAATCCGCAGGGGAAATATAAAACGAATCTAAAACGAAAACGGGGAAAACGGACCGGAGCAGGAGAAATATAAAATGAATCAGCAGAAAACGGAGCACCTTGAAGATGTAGATCTCGTACTTCTCCATGCTCTTCTTCGTCCTCTTCTTTTCTCCACCGAAGGTCGCCTTGTCGGCGTCGTTGGGGAGCTTCTTGCCGGCCTTCGGCTTCTTCTCCGCCGCCGGAGACTTTTTTGTGCAGTGGTTTTTTTTTTTGGCGAGAGAGAGTTAGAGAAAGGGAGAGATGAACAGAGATAGAGAGAGTGAGATACGTAACGGCAGTTTGTGGGTGTGGGTGAAGAGAGAGAAAGGGTTAGGGCATGTATTGAATTGAAACTAAAAGGGCAAAATAAGTACTTTAAGTTATCTAGGGGGTCTCACTAATTACGATCAGAATTTGAGTTTTTGACTAGAACAGAAAAATTTATTTGACTTCCTCATATATATTTTCAAAATTTGGGGGTTATCACTCATTTACCCTTGAAATTAATAGAAATCGTATTATATATTGATAGTGCAAATCTTTTTTGGAAACAGTCGGCATATGGTCAATGGTGGCCATGGCCCCTTTAACAATCCTCGATTCTCTATTTTTTTTTATTAACGATTTTTAAAAAATCACACATAATTAACATTATCCCCGAACTATAATTTTTTTTAATACTTTGGTCCCGCGAGCTTAAAATCATCGCTTCACTAGTGAAGATCACTAGTCGGAAAATTAAGGTTATTAACAAATTTTATATTTTATACAATATTGATAGTACAAATTGATCTCCTTCTACTCATAAACTTTTGAAGCTATATACCTTCATCTTCACATGTTTACTTATCCATCTATACAAAAATAGTACTAAAAAAATTACAATTGAACAAGTATGTATATATATATATATATATATATATATATATATATATATATATTGTAATCTCTATACATCAATGTCACTATATATATTCTGTACTTTTTAACATTAATCCTAGGATCGGAATACATGAAATGTACATCTCTGCAGCCAAAATGTACTCCCCTCTATAGCTAGCTAACATCTTCAAGCGATTTATTCATGCATGCATGCATTGAGGGAGAAAGACAAAACATAAACAACAAATAGGAGTCGTGTGTGTGTGTGTGTGTGTGTGTGTGTGTGTGTGTGTGTGTGTGAGAGAGAGAGAGAGAGAAGGGTCATTTTCCATATAAATTGCTTATCACCTCCAATCCAGGGACAGAAGGGTCATTTTCCAACCCCATCGCAGGGCCGGCCCAAGCCCAAGGCGAGCAAGGCCGTCGCCTTGGGCCTCCGAAAAACCTAAAACTTTTAGGGCCTCCAATTTTTTAAATGTTTATATATTTATTGAGCTACAAAAACTTTGCAAGAATTGCCTTTAACATAGTTGGCTATGTTTTACTCATAGATCACTGACCGATTGTCCAATGTCTGAAAGCTGCCATTTCATCTCTCTCTTTTTTTTTCTTTTTTTTTTTTTGTTTTAAATTTCCCTCTTTTTTTCTTTCTAATTATATTTTTTAATTTCCTTTTTATTTTATTTTAAATTTCCCTCTTTTTTTCTTTCTAATTTTATTTTTTAATATCCCTCTTTTTTTCTTTTCTTCTTTGTTGATTGGTAAGCTAAGAATTACTTTTATCTGTCATTATCTTCATGTATGTCGCGTGTTCGAGTCCCTGACCGATTGTCCAATGTCTGAAAGCTGCCATTTCATCTCTCTCTTTTTTTTTTCTTTTTTTTTTTTTTTTTTTTTTTTTAAATTTCCCTCTTTTTTTCTTTCTAATTTTATTTTTTAATTTCCTTTTTATTTTATTTTAAATTTCCCTCTTTTTTTCTTTCTAATTTTATTTTTTAATATCCCTCTTTTTTTCTTTTCTTCTTTGTTGATTGGTAAGCTAAGAATTACTTTTATCTGTCATTATCTTCATTCTTTCATTTCTAATTCTATAATTTTTTTTTTTTACTGGTTGTGTTTATATTCTGGGTTTAATAATTTAGCTCTTTTTGAATAATATTGTATATTTTGGAATTTCATAGGTTGAGTATCTATCTTTGATTGGCAAGCTAAGAATTAATTTTATCTATCATTATCTTCATTCTTTCATTTCTAATTCTATATTTTTTTTTATTTTACTGGTTGTGTTTATATTTTGGGTTTATTAATTTAGCTCTTTTTGAATAATATTGTATATTTTGGAATTTCATAGGTTGAGTATCTATCGACACAATGAGCAATAAAAAAGTTTGGGTTGGGATATTAAAAAAAATCACCAACGGATTTCTTAGATTTAAATAAATTATCTTGCAAAAATATGTTGAAGATGAAGTTGTGGAATTGCGGTAAGTTGATAAGTCAAAATAAAGTTGGTAATTAAGGGGGCCTCGTTTTCGCTTCTCGCCTCGGGCCTCCAAGACCCTGGGACCAGCCCTGCCCCATCGCATCATGATATGATCCCCATAACAACGTTATTATGATTGTCTTCTTCTTGCCCTAATTGGGCATTATAATTCGGCAAGTTCACGTAAAACGAACCTCCAGAAGCACCCATCAATATCGCATTCACGTCGAAAATATTGTTGTGGTCGTGAATTATCGGAGGGACGCTAAAAGGGAAAATGTTAATGTTGCTTGAGAAACCCATATTATCGGGCCGGGCTTCAGCTTGCATGGAGGAATCCATGCAGACGACGTCGTATTCTTGCATGTTGAATATCGGATTATAATTATTACCATTATTATTATTATTATAAGCGGTCTTATTACGAAGAAGCGGTTTGGACTCGCTTCTCCCAATTGAGGGTGGCCCATTTCGCGGCGGAGGTGCAGCGGTGTAATTTCGCGACCGTCAAGAGGGAGTTTTGTTACACCATCTTCATCTTGCAGCTGGTAGCGGTAATCGTTGGTGGGTACTGCTACATGTTGGGATGATGGAGAATGAAGAATGGTACGTTGGGGACGACGGAGAATGAAGAACAGGGAGGGAGAAGGGGCTTGGAGACATTTTTGACATTTCACAGTTGAAAATTAAGAAAAAATCGCAGTAGGAGCGCGTGAGAGACACGATTTACTCTCAGGGGTCTCAATGCCTTGACTTTGTTTACACAAGGGGTTATGAGCAAATGTTTTTTTGACAGGGGGGTATTTGACAATTAGAGATTTCACAGGGGTGGTATTTGCAATTAACTCATATATATATATATAAGAAAGAAAGAAAGAAAATATAATATATGTATAATTAATAATTAATCTTTTCCAAATTCTAATAGTTAATTGATCACTCAAACTGGGCCTATAAAGTATTAATTAGCAGGAGAATCGAACTCAGGTCGTTAAACACCGCGCACATTCTCCTACTCCGATCCACCAACTAGGCCACTGTTGCAGACTTTAATTCCATCGATCATCAAATTTTATTTTATTGACAAATGATAATTTTACAGTTAAACGACCTCTATAAATTAATACAGTCTTGACCAGTCAAATTCTATTAATTTAACGAAATACTTTTTTTGAAACGTTGTCGTCAAGTTGGGACAGGGAAAATATATTATTTTAAACGAAGTTATTAATTTATCGAGATTCTACCATATGAATTATATTATGATATATTTTTTTTATATATTTTCTTATTTAAGATAGGGTTGTAGGATTATAACTCAATAAATTGCATTTGCGTCTACCGTTATGCATAAACATATGTTTAATTAAATTCATTCCTGGAAATATATAGTCTGCATCACTCTAGTTACTAATATATGTAAAACAAATCGTATATCTCATTTAATCATACACATCCTACCAAATTAAAAAAAAGAAAACCACTTAATTAATTAAACAAGAGAGAGAGAGAGAGAGAGAGAGAGAGAGAGAGAGAGTACCTGTTGAGAGTACCTGTTGCCAAGAAGGGAGTGCAAATGAATAATAAGTTGTTCTTCGTCGGGCGAAAAGGTGCCACGTTTAAGGTCAGGGCGGAGATAATTGATCCAGTGGAGGCGGCAGCTCTTGCCGCAGCGGTGAAGGGCGGCATTACGAGCAATATCACTCCAACAGCCTTGCCCATTTCTCACCATGTAATTCATCAGCTTCTCGTCTTCCTCCGGCGACCACACACTACAACATTTTAGGGCTTTTGCGACGCTTTGTATTCCCGACGGTTTCAAAACCATCGTATAAAGTGCGTTTCTTGACGCTTTTGAATCTAATCTTGACACATAAACACGGTCAAGTAAAAGTAATTCTTGACGCTTTTAAAAATGTTCTCGACGCTTAAAAACCGTCAACAAAAATAAATTATATAATATATAAATTATTAACATCACTTTTTTCTCTCAGTTTTTCATTTATAATCAGACCGATACAATCTCCCTCTAACCTTCGATTAGGGCTTTTCTATGAATAATAACTTCTCTTCGACGCCGTACCTCCGCCGCCGCGTTCGCCTCCGCCTCCGCCATTGCCGCTAATGACGAGCCATCATCTCTGTTGCTACTTCTTCCCTCAGGATCGAACTAATCATTATGAAGACAAATTGAAAAAGGCGAAAATCTTTCAACTCTGCAGGTGTTTTGAATCACCCGTGGATTGCGTGACAGGTTAGTCTCCTCTGTTATTATTTTCCATTTATTTTAATTGATCTCATTCCATCCGTGTGGAATTCAGTATAGGAAGCTGACAAGTGATTTTTAGGTTAATTTGATTGCTTGAATTTAAGGGGTCAAGTTGCAGATTGTGAGAATCTATGACTTGATATTTTAGAATTTTACTTAATTACAGTTTGCTAATTTTCCATTGGTTTCAATTTTTGATTCTTCCAATTTTTTGTTTACTAGTGTTGTTAATTTCTCAGTTTGTGCACAATGACAATTTATTTTACTTACTTTTCTTATGATATCAATGATTGTGTTTTGAAGGATGCTTTTAAGAATTTCATGGTCTTTTGCACAAAAAAAGTTGTATACAACAAGTTTTATAAGCTTTAGAAACATGAATTTTGCTTACTCAGGAACACTAACTTTTTTTTTTCTTCTTTGATTGTTCAGGAACGCATTTTACATTGGAGCATGGGAGCAAGGACATTTTGTTGAACTAAGGATATGTAGACTTTGAAAGTAAATGTATTGTGTAGGTTACTTCAAGTGTTGTTTTGAAGATAGATTATTTGAAGTTTGGTATTGTATATTTTTGGAAAGCAATAATTCATGTTTTGGGGAATCCGAGTGATTTTTAGCATGTGTTTATATTCGTATTGGAAAATTATACGAATTTTTGGCATGCGGTTAAATTTTTGTAAAGGTTTAGTGTTTACGAAAAAAAATATTGAAAAAATATGTACCAGTATTCCCGACGGTTTTCAACAGTCGAGAAATGTATTCTCGACGGTTTTGAAAATATGTATGAGTATTTACGACGGTTATCATAGCGTCGAGAAATATTATTCCTGACGGTTTTTTTACACGTGAAAGTATATACGACGGCCTTTTTCTTGACGGTTTTGTGACGGTCGAAAACCGTCACGAATAATGTTCCTGACGGTTTTTTCACTTTTCCCGACGGTTTTTTTTCGTCGTATAAAGCCTTAAATGTTGTAGTGGTACAAACCCTTCCTCATCTTTCCACCACCCTTCACTCCATTTTTATTTTCATTACTAATTTTATTATTATCATGCTTCCTCATTTAAAAAAATATAAACATTATAAAAAATATGGGAATATATGAATGGTAATAATAATTCCCAAGTAGAGAATTAATAATCTCTCCCTATAGTTCTTCTATATATATATATATATATATATATATATATATATATATATATATATATATATATATATATATATATATATACTAGGTACGGAGCACCGCGCAATGCGCGGTGTTCGGTCGTCATATTTGCAAAAGTCGATCGGTTATTTCGCCGGGGTTGGTGATGCGAATGCACCATGTGATACAGTGCAATCCCCGAAACTATGAAACAATTGGACGAAAATGAACCTTAATAACTTATCACTTGGTATGTACATACTCACGACAACTACAATAATGTATAAGTAATTCTTGCCAATTATTTACAAATGCGTATTTGAATGGGTAAACAACATAAAACCCCCCTGTGTTAAGGAAAACTTGCGCCAAATCCCCCTGTGTTTTTTTTCTTGCGTAAAACCCCCTTGTGTTTTATTTTTCTTTGCACGAAATCCCTTTTTCCGTTAAAAGTTAACACCGTTAACTATAGAGGGTGTTTTGTGCAAGTTTTTTGTAACATGGGGGGGTTTAATGCATATTTCTACAATATAAAGGGATTTTATGCAAAAAATAATTTATTTGTTTAAATTTCATATTATTTTCTGAAATTAAGTTGAAAATATTTATTCAATTACAATATCAAAAATAAAAATTTATTAGGTGTGGTGAATGTTTAAAAAAAAAATCAATCTTTATATGATATTATTAATGTAGGAATTTTGATTTTGTAAATTATATAATTATTTTATTAGAATTATTATATATGTTTATAATTTATTCTTGATCAATTATATGTGAAAAGAATATAAATAATTTTAAGAATTCGTTCCTACTTCCATCTCGAGTATTATTTTCTTAGTTTTTATATTTTAAATTAATAGATGTATTCGACTTAATTTAAGAAAATAATTTGAATTTAAATGAATAAATTAATTTGCATAGACCCCACTTGTTTTGCAAAATTATGCACCAAATCCCCTTATGTTACAAAAAATTTGCATAAAACCCCATCTATAGTTAACGGCGTTAACTTTTAAGGGAAAGGGGATTTCGTGCAAAGTATAATAAAACACAAGGGGGTTTTACGCAAGAAAAAAAACACAGGGGGGTTTGGCGCAGGTTTTCCTTAACACATGAGGGTTTTATGCTGTTTACCCGTATTTGAATCCAACATAACTATTTTCGTTCAAAAATCTAATCCTACCAGCATAGTATATCTCTCAATGGTCGTATGATGCTTCCTACTATAGAAGGGAAAATTTGTTAACCATTACGATGACAAATCAGATCCATACGGGTACAAATACCTTGTAGAGAGGCATGCATTCCACATTACTTTGTCCCTCATGTTAAACAAAATCAAATAGCCTGCCGGAAAAAGTAAATCTCATTTGAATTGGCATGATACTAAATTCAAATTCTTACAAAAGAAGTTGTAATAGAAATGTTTTACACACATCAGAATGAATGAGGAGTTTATGAGAAACAAGTTTGGTAAAAAGTAATCAATCAGATAAGTTCCTATATGCTCCATTACGTTCCACCGATAATTTTGCAGACGTATTCAGCTAATAATGCACAAGTGATAGGATTTACAATAGTCGTACTAAATTATATACTACACTATCCATTCTTTACAAAGACTAATTTACTGCGCTATTATTTGTAAGCAAGTGTGTCGTGAAACAATAAGTTATGCACAATTTTATTAACGGAATTGGTAGTCAGGTTCCGAAGCAAGGCGATCAATTAACGTTTGTAAGAAAATGAGATGTCACCAAATAACCAGGAAGAATAACCTAGGAAGTCAATAAAAATGAATAAAATTCATACCATTTTCTTATTATCACAGAGATTAAAAAAACTTCAGTTGACCTTTATACAATAATTCCTAAGGAAAAAAAGGTTAACTAATTATTAACAAATCATATAAAGCAGATAAATCCAGCGGTACTGACCAACTAATTAGAACTTGTACATTGTTCTACTATATGTTATGTTACCAGAGTAACTGCAGTAGCTGCGCAGAAGCTATAGTTAAACTAACCAGAGAAAGACAATGAGGCTTTACTATAGTTAAACTAACCAGAGAAAGACAATGAGGCTTTATTCATAAATTCTTGCAAGGGTTGTGCAGATGCTCCTCAAAGTGTGTCTACATTTCAAAACAATGCACAAGCTCATTTAAAAAAAAATAGTTGGCACACACCTTCGCACCTTCTGAGGAAATTCTTAATTAAGGCAGCTCTTGGACGGTTACGTTTCTTCATAAACAAAAAATGCGATGGCATATATGTTAAGTGTAGATTTTACGCTCAATACGCTTACTTTACGTGGATCTTTTGTTTAGAGTTAATTATATTTGTGCTTTAATTGATTGATTTTGTGTTTTATAGGTGAAAAACAAGAATTAGATGTCCATGAAGGAAAAAAGATCAAAAAGAAAGGAAAATGTTGCAAATAAGGAAATAAATCTAATTGGAAGAAGGAATCTCGCCACAGCTTTGGCAGTGTCCACCATTTCGAGCATATCTCTCTCTCATACGAACTCCAAATCAGCTGATTTTGTCAACATTGGAAAGCTAATTCCAAGGGCTACAATTCTTATTCACGCAACATTCCAAAATTCAGACTCCAACATGGCGACAATCGAAGAACAAATCCTCATGGGGGAAAGTGGCGGAAATTGATTCCTATTAGGTTTTCACTACTTCCTTATCATGAAAAGCCTATAAAAGCAACAATTTCCCACACCATAAACACGAAATTATACACCACAAAACGCGAGGAACGAAGATCAACGAAGACTCAAGCATAGTTTTTCTTATTTAATTTATTTATTTTATTTTCTTTATCATAAGAATCACGAGTAGCTAAGTCTTTGTTTTTAGGATTTTATTCTGATGGAGAACAAGGAATTTAAGAGTTCTATTAGGATTAGGAGTTGTTTTATTTTTCCTATTTTTGGTAGTTTTAGTATTTTCCTAGATTAATTAGAATTTAGTTTTAGTATTTTCCTAGCTTAATTAGGATTTCTAATTGATTTGTATAAATAGGTGTCTTAGGGATTTATTTTGAAAAAAAAAAAAAAAAGAATTTCAAATTTTAATAAAATATTTAGAGTTTTCTCTATTTTTCTGGTGGATTCCAGAGTTTTCGGTGGATTCCGAATGTTATCGTGTTCTATAGGATTAATTCGTAGAAATTAATTCTTTACCGTGCTTCCGTTCTGCGTCAGTTGGCATCAGTAGCGAGGTTTTTCCCTGGTTAGATGGCGAAAGGCGTGCAACATGGAGACGACAACCGCGATGGCGATGACCGCGAGGTTGGTGACGTCTATGCAGCGATCGAACAAGCTACAAAAGGATTGCGAGTGGAGTTTTGTGAGGAGTTGCGGCAACTTCGGGCGATGCTAGAGGGACTCACCCTCAACGGCAACAGCAGAAGGGGCGAACCTAACATGGCGCGCGCTGGGAACTTGGCCCGAGGTGCACGAGTTAGGAATCAAAACCACTATCATCTTCAACAAGAAAGTGATGACGGGTCGGGTGAAGACAATTTGGCGATAGTAGATGGAAACCAGCCCAGACAGAGACAAGATGATCATTGCCGGATAAAAGCTGAGATTCCCCTTTTCCACGGGAATCTTTCCATCGAGGACTTCTTGGATTGGATTTCCGACGTGGAGCGAGCGTTCGACGTGATGGAGACACC